GGTGCGCGCGCCCCCCCCCACCTCCGCGGCCCCCAGCCGTAAAGTCACAGCCCTTGGCTGAAGGAACGGAACATACCCTTTTAAAATAAATATTTATTTTCGATGTCTCATTTTCATATTGAAACCCAATTTCAGTTCCCAGAAAAATACATTTGCAAAGCACGGCAAATGTTTTTGTGTTTCAGGCAGCGATGCTGTTGAGCGCTCGGTGTGTGCCCGCAGCCGCCTCACCCGAGCGCCGGCCACAGCATCTCCCGCGAGCAAGCGCTGCAGCGCAACACCACCTCTGGTACCCTTCTGGGGGCCTCACTCTACGGAGTAGGACCTTACTTTCCAAGACTGCTTGCAGAGCAAGGTGTTTTGAAGTAAAGATGAAACCGTTTTGTTCGCAACGGAGCAGCTGCTGTGTTTCGAACGCAGCGGTCTTCATTTTAGAGCAATTTTATAAAAGTAGTTATTTGATTTACAGGAAAAAGAGGCATGCAGAAGTCTAACTAATGCTGCTTCCACACACAAAACAAGGTTACTACCAAAGTGAGAATCCTTGCCTTCCTCCAGAGGAAAATGCAGTAAAATGTAAAATGTAGTCTAAAAATTATCATGGACAAAGAAGCCAAGGTTTGTTTCTTTTCTTTTAGAAACACTTAATAAAAAATACCATATTAATTTAATAATTACCGTTCTACATCTTGAAAGGAGAAAAAAAAAATCAACTTTTCCTTGGTATTAAAATACAGGAGGCAAAAATGTGGGATAAAACATAACACAGCTACAGGTGGCCTGCACCTGGATGAATGGAAAATATTAGGTTTAGCTGCTTTACTTCCTACAGTAGCTATAATAAACCATGCTCAGCTGAATGAAATTAGCAAATGCATTTAAAAGGAACAGTCTCCCACAGCACATCTGACAAAAAAGAAATAAAAATCAATGGACTCATATATAAAAAATGTGGGTTTAGCCTGAATACTGAATAGTTTGTTGCAGGTTTACCGGAGTCATTACAGCAATCCCTTATTCCTTGAGCATCATCAGCATTGTCTCCCTGCCCATCCAGTAACATACGCGCAGCTCCCTGGGGATGAACTTCTAGTAATTTACTTTTCCAGATTTTCATTTTTGCAAGTATCATCAGACTTCAGCAGATTTAATATTTTAAGGCAGACTGATACTCTCTCATTTTGAATAGCCAATCTTGTGAATTCTGCAGTTTTGGAAAATTCTGGAGTTGGAGGTAGCGCTCTAAGGTGACGTCCAATGAGCTGGGCTTGGTCCAGTGCTATTCTTGATAGTCGATTAAGTTCTCCGTGATCTGGTAAAGTTAGATGAGTCACTGATACAAGCTGTAAAAGGTGCTTACTAAGTTGTCTGACATGAGTCAACTTCTCTGCCCAAAAATTGACTTCCCCTTTATCAAACAGGTAATCATCTTCTTCCTTAACAAAAAGAAAACCAACAGTGATTAGAAAATGACTTCTGGTCTTGATAATAATGAGAAAATTATAGAAGATATGAAGGAAGATATATAAAGAAATAATGACAATAGAGGCTGTTACAGAACAGCTGCTTTATATTAAAAAAGGTAAAAATTCACATGCATCATTTTTCAAAGGTTTGAGAAAATGCAGTAAAAAGGGTTCCTACTTTGCCAAAGAAATTTTACCTTCAAAAAACAGGCAGTTATGGTATAACTCTTGGGAAACAGTGGAAGTAAATAGTAATCCTAATCCTTAACATGTGCTTACCTTTCCCCTGTGAAACTTTCTTGTATTTCACAGAGATCTCTCTGTAACCAGTATGGTAATTTGTTATATCACGAAGCTTTTTGAGTGGATTAAATGAAAAAGGAAAATTGTATCAGTCCGTGAAACATCAGAAAGGCATACCTAAGCACAGGCTTAAGAAAAGTTTCATAATATATTTCATGGGTCATATTAATTGTCAACAAATTTCTCAAAGATGTAGCTGCTCCTGCTCCTTCCGGTTTACCTTCCAGCATTATTTTGATTTTTACAGTCTTCTCAAGACAAAGAGAGCACAGTGTATTACACAGCATTAGGTTTTACAGAACCAGCGTGGCAAAGTTTTTCTTTACGTAAATAATCCCTCTGAAGACAACTGATGTGAGCGAGGCCGTTTCGTGTGCTATACAGGACCAGTCATATGGAAGGGAGTACAGTTACCAAATATTTAAATGACATCTCTGGAAAAGCCAGCAGTTGGGAGAATGCTGTGCTTGAACGCCAGATGTGCCTGGCACCCACAGCAGCAGTTTAAATTCAAGGCAAGCCATCATCTGCAATGATACTGAATGCAATTAGTTACAGCCTCAAAATGTTTCAGTCAACAATGACTTGTTAAGTAACTCTTGATTTATTTCAATGTTTGCTTATTGGCCTCTTTAATTTTATGCTGATATTGCCAGGAAACAGACATCAAACTCTATTCTAAATACTGTCCCTGTGAATTTTTTTTTTTTTTTAAATTGTAATTCAATTAATACTGGAGTAGTGATCATGAGGCTTCATCAGATGAGATATTGCATTCTATTCCTACCACAAGACTGCAGAAATGCGGTGATCCCAACATGAGGTAGCAACTGGTTGTTACAATTACCGGGGCTGAAGTCTCTGAGTCTCTTTCCAGATCGCTGTCTCCCAGTAGCCACTCCAGCAGGATGGGTACACCGGCACGGATCTCCCCCCACCGCTGCAGCAGCTCGCACAGTATGCCAAACGCTAAATCCAAGGCCATCGGAGCATTCACTATCCTAAGTGCAAACTCTGTTGAGAGAAAATATGCGTAACAACATATAGCAAGACCACAAACATTTTCAAATAAAATCAGCACAAATATTATTTCTTGAAAACAGATGCTGAATTTACACAACCACATTTAGAATGATGAGTTATACTGCAAGTAAGTTAGATGAATGTTTACTTCTGTGCCACTTGGGGCCTTTTCTCAATTCCAAAATAATACATGAAGCAACTGAAAATGCTGACGCTTAATATTTTTTTCCTGCCCATGTAGTGACATTCATTAATTTGGGTTTAAATATACAAAGATGTCTGTTAGAAACGCCTCCAGAGACGGTCCTGACACTATTACGTGGTGACTATTTTTGCAAAACTGCAGCTATGCCTTAGATCTGATTTGATGTTTCACTGGAACTCCAAACCTACAGCACACTGTATGTTCTGAAAGGGCTGGGACATAAAATGGATTTTTATTTGGTGTGCAATCTCTTTATATATAAGATATACATATATATACACACACACACACACATATGTAAGAGAGATCAAGCATGCGAGAAACGCTTAGAGAAGACGTTAAAGACGGGAAAGGCAGACGCTATTTACAATATCATCACAGAGCTATATTTATACAGGTTTTGCTATCATGCCAGCACGGTACACAAAGCCATCCTCCACACAGTATTTCTTCCCTAAACTTCCCCACTGCTCTCCTTTGGGCAGATGCTGTTTTCACCGTGTGGTTCCTAGGGCTGCCCTCAATAATGGAGTACATAAAAATGCCAGAAGCCCTGTTTGCATGAGAACTCCCAACACCTGCCTGCACAGGTACGAGTTTCACCACTGGTAACAGTAATGCATTTTTTCTTTTTTCAGTGGGGATGTGGGACGAGGACCGGAGGAGGAGAGCTAATGAACGAGCCCCTGTAAAATCCCTCGCACTGTAAAATGGATTTTGGTAAAAATCATCCTTGTCCATAGTCATCAGCAACTGAACAACTGTTCACTGAATGGTCTGTCTTCTAAGTAGTGATATTGTAAGGACATGTCATTTTCGAAGGCTGTCTCTTGCGAGCAGACAACAGAGCAGAGTCAGAATTATTTGGTAAAAATCCATACGGACATGGAAGGCAGACCTTACTTTTTGTGTCTGAGCGTATTTAAGCGTTTCTCACGAAGGAAAATGATTATTGACATGAAAGAGGCATAGCAGTGGAGCCGAGACCTGTCCTTCACAACCCACGCTCAGAGCCGCAGCAGGGACCGCTAACACCTCAGGAGGCCTCAGGCCAGCTGTGGGTTTTCCAGAGTACGCTGGCACAGCAGAGAAACGTCCCGTAAAACACCAGCACTAGGCAAATACGCGTGCGAATGGATAAGGAAGCGCAGGAAAGGGCAAAACAGACCGACGGAAAGATGGGTACATGGTATTTGACAGACCAGGCGACGTACTGAGGACATTGGGGAGGATGAATTAGTATTTGAGGCCATGAGAACAAAGGCCCATAATAAGGGAGGGAGGGAAGGAGAAAGAACAGATGGTCCCTTCTTTATCTTGGAGTTAGATGAGGGTTAATGGAAATCTCCTTGAACAGGCAACAGGAAGGCAGGCAGTCAATCTCTTGGTGACACTAATAATGTTACATATGCAGTTTGTTTCTGCTAGACAGTAAAATCAAATGTTCAAATCTGTTGTCTTCATGTCAGGACTCATCATGTATCAGGACATCCCTCAGCTTCGTCCGTGAGGGAGAGCTTGCAAGGGTGCAGTGTGACGTTCCCACACTATTTATTTTAGGTATTGGGTTTTTTAGGTATTGTTTTTGCTGACATTTCTTTCCAGGACTTTTTTTTTTTTTTAACTTTGTTTCTCTGTTGCTGTGCCCTGCTTAGTCCCAGTCTGATACTCTAAAGAATGGGTACAATGGTTGTCCTCTCTGTTTTGATTTGCTTAGGCTCAGGTGAAAACACAGTTTCATTCAAGTGCCATGGGGACCTCAGAAGTACTGGGAATCCTTAGAGCTGGAAGATTGGACATGAAAACGGAGTGTGGAGTTCTGAGCCTGAAACAAACATCCCAGTTATGAACGCTTACAAAACGCAACATTTTAAACCCAGCTCTTTTGAATTCTGTTGATCCTTCGGAGTTTTACGGATGATTACTGAAGGCCTAAGATTGTCAATATTTATATAACGTCTCTTGCTTCTGTCACTTTATTTGTATTTGAATATTTAGCAAATTAAGTGATGCTGGGAGCTAAAAACCAAACATGTTATTTCCCACTGCTGTCACCCTGAAGTTCACTGTTGCTTCAGAGGACTGTTTATAGATACAACTGCAGATATTTAAAATACCTGCCATTTTCTGGGGCCTTTTTTCCCTTTTAAGATTTAGACTCCTTAAGTATAAATATGGTGATCCTCTCTTTGTGAATGAGAACACTGGACCACTGAGAAATGCACCAAAACATATATTGGGGCCTCTAATTCTGTTATTACGTGAACATGCTGAAAACTACCAAGAGGTAGCAAAGCAAGTAATGCTGAGGTACTGCTTAGACTGAACTTGCTTGCTAGCAATTTTTCAACAGCATGACACAGAAGAAAAGGCCGTTTTGTGGTCGCATAGCACGGCAATCTTGTAGGGAATCCTTGTATCACAACAAAGGAAATGGTAAGGTGGTTTTGGGGTGGGGGTGTGTGTGTGTCCCTGAGAAAAGAAAAAAAATTACAAGAAAAACATACAAAGGAGGTCTAACACACAGGAAAAACATGAAGACCCTGAACACAGTACTGACCCAAAAGATGCCAACCACCCTTCTGTGAACTGCAAAGACCATTTAACCGATCAACCAAACTCATGCGTCAGTTCCAATGCTGAGACCAGAGGAAAACAAAGCAACATCACTTTGATAATGCTGAAACTTAGGCTTCAAAAATTTGGGTAAGAGCCTGCCTACCTTGGGTTTTGTGCTAGAGCAGCTAGCACAGCGGCCTCCTGGTACTTGAGGTGTTGACAGATTCAACAAGAGATCAAACTGGCAGATGAATTTTTGCTTCCACCTGCCCATCCCATCCCATCCCATCCCATCCCATCCCATCCCATCCCATCCCATCCCATCCCTCTAGTGCAGAGCATCAGGAATGGCTCCATGGTTTCTGAATCGCTTCCTCAGCTGCCATCACTTATAGAGCGCACTGATGTTAACTGACTTTGATACCAGTTCACACAAATTTGATGCTAGAATAGTTCAAGATTAGATTTGGGGACTACCATTGCCACAAGGACAACAAAGAGATGGAGCAAGTATCCAGAAAACGTGTATCAACACCCTAAGCTCGGAGTGCTGAAGTAATACAGATAAACAACAGCAAGCAAAGTATACACATACCCATGATTTAATAGGTAAAAAACGCTTTCACAGGGGAAAATGTTCTATTGCTTTGATGACCCCCAGCTCTAAAAGTAACAGCAATGGATGCTGTAAGCATGTACAGAATCTTTTAAGAAACTCACAAAAGGTGCATGTCTTCTAAAAAGAAACGTACGTGTCTTCACTGACGTATTAACTGTTTACAAGAACTGCTCCTCACATCATTATTTGCCTGCAAAACAGGGCTGATTTTCAAGAAGCCACATATGACACATGATGCTGCGTTCATGATTCACGCTATGACTTCAGAAAGTGGTCTGAGCAAGCTGGAAGTTCACCAGGGGCAAAAAGGGCAGGTGGTTCTCCTCTTCCCCGCAGCCCCCTCGCGCCATGGGCTCCTGATGCTTACTTCCAGCCAGCTCAGGTACTCTCTGCTGATCACCTGGTAAATTAATGCTCAGAATAGCAGAATACGAATTTGGCACGCAACTGGGTGTGTGGGTTCTCCTGCTCGGTTGGCAGGCTGGGCTGGTTACCCTGCAGTCAGAATTGGTACAGCTGGGAGCTGGGGAAGGGAAGATCACGAGGCAGCGGGGGCAAGGAAAGAGGCCAAAGGGAGAGCGAGACCTCCCCATTCAGCAAGCTGTTAGCTCAGGCCAGCTATAATCCAAAACTTCCCCATCAGTCATGTAAGCAAAACACTAACAGAGATGATTCAATTGACTGGCTATTTATAGCCTTTCATAATGTAAGTCACTATTTAAAGTAACTGAATTAAAAATTTCAAATGACAGATTTCCAGAAGGCGCTCACAGCTGAATACTGCCACAGGAACTAAACAAGCAGAAATCGAACCTGAAGACACAGCTATTACCAAACACTGAAAATACAGCAGTGCTCCTACCACAACAGTTCTACAGGCTATCAAGATGGTGTTAAAATTATCAGTTTTCTAAATTCTAATACGTGTATATGTTCCAACATGCAAAAGCATCATGAGCAAGATAAGCATCTCGCTAAATAAGCCACTACAGGGGCTGAAATACAAAAAAATTCTCTATGCCTTTAACAAGTACTTACAAGCAGAAGAATTAATACTACTCCTTGAAATGAAAAACAAAAGATAAGAATCAGGTACTACATGTTTTTTTCATTTTGAGGAAGTGAATTTTCATAAAGGGAAAGGGGTTAAGTACTGCTGTGTTTTAGCCTTTGTGAATCCACCCACACAAAAATTAGACCTCCCACATACACATTCACATACTCCAAAAGCTTTGATCATGCCAGATGTAAGTATTTCTTCTAGTAGCCTATTACGTGTCCTCCAACTATACAATTGTTCTCTCTTAAAGCCTCAGTGATATTAATGGGGAACCGAAAGGATGTATTGAGAGCGTATACACAGATTTTAAGGACAACCATGATAAAATATAAGCAAAATAGAAAAGCAGAACATGTTCCTTGCCTAACAAAGCGTTTTGTAATTGGTTTTATACTGAAAATGGTTAACTGAAGTTAATTTTAGATCAAAGAGCAATGCAATTTTTGTAAATGTATACTGTGTTCAGAACAAACATAAAGAGAAGTAAAACTGCAAGGAAGGTTAGTGTAACGGCCCTGAGAGAAAGCCTCACAAAGGAGTGTACCAAC